AGTCATTTAAAAAAAGGGCAAATAGCATCGGAGATAAATTTTCTCCTTGTCGCACACCAATGTTACAATCAAATAAAGAAGACTTTTCTGTACCAGAAATTACACATGACTTAGCCTGAGCACAGGGGCGTACGCAGGGGGGGGGTGTTTTGGGGGTTCAAACCCCCCCTTTGGTATTTTAATGTATGTAAACCCCCCTAAAAAAACCAAAAAACCCCCCCCCCTTTGGCTTTTTTTTTTTTTTTTTTTTTTTTTTTATTAAAAAAAGAAAAGAAAAAAAAAAAATTATACCCACGGCTAACCTAAATAAGGTGACCTTACCCCCCCCCCATACGTAAAAAAATGTCAAATTTTGAAATTTTGAGACCAAAAAAAAAAAAAAAGTGTCCGCTTACCCCCCCCCCCCCCCCCCCCCCCCCCCCCCCCCCCCCCCCCCCCCCCCCCCCCCCCCCACTGAGCGACTTTTCGGCCGGCGCGATTTTCAATTTTTCGGGAGCAAAATATTTTAAAACCCCCCCTTGAAAAAATCCTGCGTACGCCCCTGCCTGAGCATACATATGCTAATTACATTGAAAAAACTTTCCATCAACATTTTTCTTAAGTAATTTATTCCAAAGAGAACTCCTGTCAACCAAATCAAATGCCTTCTTGTAGTCAATAAATGCACAATAAACCCTCTCTTTTGAAGAGAGATATAAATCGATCACTGAATGGAGAACAAAAATGTGATCAAGCGTTGAATGACCATTTCGAAAACCAGCCTGTTCATCACCTAGCAATTCATTATCTTCGAGATAAGACGTAAGTCGCTCATTCAAGACTGCTGTAAACAGCTTGCCGAGACAACTAAGCAATGTTATTCCTCTATAGTTGTTCGGAACATTAGGATTTCCTTTCTTCTTATAAAGAGGGTGAATTAACCCTATTGTCCATTCAGATGGTACAATTCCACTTTTTAATACAATGTTAAATAACCTAACGATTACTGATAAAACAGACTTTGTGCTACACTTCAAAAATTCATTTAGAACTAAATCATCGCCATGTGCCTTACCGTTTTTCAGTCTATTTATTTGACGTGTTACTTCTTCCCTGCTTATAGAACGATTGATACATTGATTGCTCGAAAGAACTTGGTCAGGTTCTAATATATCTGCATTATCTCTTTGATTTTGGCTCAGACTACGAAAGTGTTGTTCAAGAGATTGAATTTCAATTGGGTTTTTTTTTCATTACTTAAACCGTTAGCTGAATTAATAATTTTCCAATATGCTTGTGGTTGATTGATTTTAAGATTTCTTAATTCACTGTGGATTTTTATATCAAAGTTGTTTTGAGCTGAACGAATAGCCTTTTTATACATTTTCTTAACTTTGGTATATTCCTTTTCAATACTATCAGATTTATCAATTTTCCTAAGATTTTTAAGATGAAAATACTGACCCCTTGACCGAGCACAATTTGCATCAAACCATGGTTTCCGCTTCCGACCAGACTTACAAGGTTTATAATTTCCATAGGTTTTTACCATTCCACTTTTTTTGGCCGCCGTAAGGTAAATATTTTGTAATAAACAAGCTACATTATCGATTGAATCCTGATCAATCTGAATGTCGTGACCCTCCAAACGATCAACAGCATAATGTATATTTTCAACTAGACTTTGATCGATGTTATCAACAAAATCTTTAGCAGAATTTACACTCCATTTAATTTTCGTCGTTGATCCCGAAACTTTTTTCACTTTTTCTTCACTTTTACATTTTTCATAACTGCTTTCGCTATTCAATCTTAATACAATGGGATTATGTTTGTCAGACAAAAAAGGATCAAATATATCAACCGCAAAATGATTAAGAACATGAAATAATTCGAGCGATGCGGCACAATAATCAATGGTACTTGTGTTAGCACATGTAAAATCACCTTGTTTATCCACGCCTACACGACCATTTGCAATAATCAGTTTAAAATGTCTACATAGTTCAAGAAATCTTTTTCCGTGGTTATTAATAACAGCATCGCTGTTACATCTTCTCAACCTTATGTTATAAGTCTGGAAATCCTCAGTGTCTATATAATCGTTATCGAAATCATTCACATGACTGTTGGCGCAATCCTAAATTTCAGAATAACCAGAGATTTTATTTTTCAACACCTGTTCTTGCATTAAAATCTCCTAGAAGACAAAAAGGCATATTGTGTACATTTTTTAACATGAGAAGATCAGAAGCAATGTCATCAAACATAGACTCGTTAAAATATTTAGAATTTTCAGGAGGAATGTAAACAGCACCAAGTATAAACAGAAATCCAAATGCCTTCTCGCCGATCTTTAACCAAAATACTGTTTCAGATTTAGTCTGCTTAATAATTGACACAAAATTGAATATTTCTTTTCGTAGTAGAACACCAAGTCCATGAACGCCACCAAACGGAAAGTTGCTTTGACTTGGTTTGTCTTTAAAGAGGTATTTGAAGCCATCTGGTAACAAAGATTCATTAATAACGTCAACTTTAGTTTCACTCAAACATACAATATGAAACTCTTTAATGTACTGTTCCAATATTCCATCATTTAATTTTTTTCTTAACCCGCAAACGTTTAAACTTAAAAAATTAGCGTGCTTCGTCACATTCACCAGGCCGACGTATCCCTACCCCATCAGTAAAGACCTGATGAACGAAGGCGCTCCTCGGACCACCCGATCTTCAGGAGGTCATCAGGCGTGTCGATGATTACCTTCGTGCCGCCATTCAGTAGGCAAAAGATTCTGCCGTCGATGGTCCAGACTTTCTCGATACTGTCACGGTCTTCTTTTACCTTCCTGCGCATCTTGGCTCGGAGCGAAGTCAGATCTTCTGCGATGAAGACGTCCCGCTTTGTCTCCCTCAGTCGACGCTTCTTCTTCATGAACTCCGTCCTCTTCTCTCTGCGAACGAACTTGGCCAAGATTGGCGCCGGTTTACCAGATCGTCCTCCAAGTAGAAGGTGTGAGACACTGATGTCATCTCTCGTCACCTCCACACCAATCTCCCTCCCCAGCTTCACCACCACATCGGACGTGTCCTCCCCAGCTGTCACAGGCAGGCCATAACTCTTGATATTCTCCCGACGGCTGTATTGCTCCAGACGGTCCACCTCAAACCTTAAAACGTTGGTCTGGGCGGATGCTGCTGCTGACGGAGTAGGAGGAGGAGGAGGAGGAGGAGTCAATTTCCTCAGGCCTTCCATGACGGAATCCATGGCCGCAGTTACAGCAGTAGCCACGGTCTTGATGATGATGGGTTGCAAGACCTCAATAACCTGACGCACAAGGTCGGCGACCAGATCGTTGTTGAGCTTCGGTCCTGGTCCTGGGCGTTGTCGAAGACTGCGGCCTCTTCTTTGTGCTAGCACCAGTTACCAAAGCATAACTAACAGCTTCCGAGACGGAGTCCTTAACAGTAGATTTCACAGACACTTCATCGTCTAGTAAGTGAAAGTTACTCGCCATAACAAATTAACAGGTGTCAAAGATATGACGTAATAATAGAGATGCGCGATATGATGAAGCGTTAAGCGCGTTGCACCAAAGATGTGATGAGGACGCGTAAAGTAAGATAAGCAGATGAAAGTGATGGTTGTTAACGGAATGTTTTTTTATTGTTATGAAAATTGAGTAGATACGCTTAGGGCCGATACCTTGTTGATATTCAAAAGTTCTTATTTGAGCGAAAAAACGAAACGAAAGTCACAAAAGTCTCCAAAATTGAGATACAAATTATTGATTTCACGAGAATTTTTTTAGAAAATAATCACCATCACGTACACTATCCAGTGAAGTATAGGAGTTCGCGTGAAAATGTAAAATGTCTGCAAATAAGGCAATTTATCGGAGAGCTCAACAAAACACGTCCACCTGTCCACCTGTCCACCTGTGCCAACAATAACAATAAAAACATACGCGCGGCCTATTTATACGCGCGGCCTATTTATACTTTTAAGGTTGCGCTTAAAGGAAAGCTATGCGCGCATATCAGTAATACCATTTTCATTGGCTGCTCACGTCGGCCCACCTGGCTTCAACCCTCGAGGCGGATCAGATCCCGTTTACACAGCATAAAATTGCAGGGTTGAAGCCGCGAGGTGGGTTGAGACCTGCAATTCTGGTGGATTCAAGCGGCGGCTTCAACCCGGCTTCAATCTTCACTGGGATCCCGTTTACACACATAAAACTGCAGGCTTCAACCCGGCTTCAATCCCCTCGCGGCTTCAACCCTCGATGCGGATCACTGTGTAAACACGGTAAGATGCCGCTAAGGGTCATCACAGAAGAGAAGCCGCCGCGAACTCGTGATGTCACTGATGAATGTAAACCATTTATATCGCCCTACGTTCGATAAAATTTCTTACATTCACAGTAACAAAATGAAACGGGATGCGTTTTTGCGGGTACTTGAGATTTAATAGAGGATGGAATCTTGTTACCCTGAATATCAACATCATGACAATAATAACAACTACGACACAAACTTTCCCAACTGAATATAAAATACTTTTACTTAAACGTTACACTGCTCCAATCCGCCCCAGGGAAGGACCCGGGTATCATTTTCGAATCTTTTGATCAATTTATACAATTATCTGCATCTGAAAAACTGGATGGAGCCGGCATGTCCAATCCAAAGTACTCTCTGCATCGGGGCCACCAACAGACGAGAGAACTTGTGTACAACCCCCCCCCCCCCCCCCACAGCCCGTAAAAAGGCGACACCGTTTCCTCATTAAAGAGGGCGAACAGAGTTTACCTTCTCATATGGATTGAACTGTGAGTACCACAAAGTGGGCTATACGTATAACACCCCTCTGCATAAAAAGAAGACACACAGTTCCACTGCATTAAACAGGCGAACAGATGCCTACTTTACAGGCGGGTACATGTTATAAATAAACGACAGGACGAAATGCCTGTTATCATCGGGGCCCCTACCGGAAAACAATAAATATTGAGCTCTGAAAAAACTGGATGGAGCCGGCATGTCCAATCCAAAGTACTCTCTGCATCAGGGGCACTAACAGACGAGAACTTGTGTACAACCCCCCACAGCCCGTAAAAAGGCGACACTGTTTCCTCATTAAAGAGGGCGAACAGAGTTTACTTTCTCATATGGATTTAACTGTGAGTACCACAAAGTGGGCTATACGTATAACACCCCTCTGCATACAAGAAGACACACAGTTCCACTGCATTAAACAGGCGAACAGATGCCTACTTTACAGGCGGGTACATGTTATAAATAAACGACAGGACGAAATGCCTGTTATCATCGGGGCCCCAACCGGAAACCAATAAATATTGAGCTCTGCCGATACAATGGCCAATTAAAATAATCTAATTCATATTCTCAAAAACACAACCTTCCCATGAGGTATTTTGCAGCAGTGTGTAATACACATAATAACCTTTATATGTATATATTAACATATATACGCATACACATATATATATATATATATGCGAAGAGGCAAAAATGCCAATTTCCGCCACACGGGCACCGCCCGCCGCCACTGAGCGTACATATTTTTATCACATAATTTACGCATATAAACTTACATGTTGATTTCACCCTAAATTCTAATGGGTTACTTTCGTTTCACTACGCGTTTTAAACGCGAACACGAACTTGAACATATGGAATTCAACCAATTACCTTAATTTCGTTTCAATACCAACGTTGTGCGATTTCGAAACTTGAGCTAAATCAACCACAAAACCAAAATAACGTGATAACTACCTTTCGTTTTCTACCAAAAACAATAAATTAAAAACACCTTTATGACCTCGACTGTGACTATGCTCATGAAAACACTCTGCAATAACAGTAAATATAGTAAAACAAAGCCACGAATGGCTATATATATATATATATGAACTAAATACACGAACTTGAACGTGAACATATTAAATCCAACCAATTAACCAAAATAGCGTGATAACTACCTTTCATTTCCAACCAAAAACAATAAGTTAGAAGCACATTTATGGCCACGACTGTGACTAAGCTCATGAAAAACACTCTGCAATAATCGGTAAGTAAAGTAAAACAAAGCCACGAAACGGCTATATATATATATATAAATGTACGAAGTACACGAACTTGAACTTGAACATAATGCGTTCAACCAATTACCATAATATCTTTTCAATACCCACGTTTTGAGATTTCGAAGCTTGAGCTAAACCAACCGATTAACCAAAATAGCCTAATAACTACCTTTCGTTTTAAACCAAAAGCAGTCTTCAATGAAAAACACGTTCGTGGTCCCAACTGTGACCAAGCTTATGAAAACGCTTTGTAATTTCCATTAACTAAAATACACAGCATCAAAATGCGGATATATATATATATGTACATAAACTTAACATGGTAATAGCAACCACTAGCCTAATAAATCTCTTTCGCGTTACGTAAAAGTTTTATGCTTTTAAAACTCGAGCTAAATAAACCAATTACCCGAAACATAATAACTATCTTTAAACATCAAAATGGGGAAATATATACCGTATATATATATGTACATTAAATAAATCAACTTCACATCTTAATAAAAACTACTAGCCTGATAAGTCTCTTTTGCTATAACGTACGAGTTTTGTAATTTCAAAGCTTGAGCTAAATATAAATAGACCAATTACCCGAACAAACGTGATTACTACGTTTCATTATGACTTGAAAAAATTCTCTACCGAAAACGGTATTAAATTAAAAACACACCTTATGGACAAGACTGTGACCAAGCTCATGAATACCATTCAATAAATCAAAACCCCTTCAAAAAAACTGCACGAAAATCTATGCAATGTTTCCCGACCCCTTAATAAGGCTATGAAGAAACATATTATTTCCGGTCTCGGAGAGATGAATACCATCTCTCCTAAACAGCTCGCGCCGCTCGTGCCTGATGTCCAGGTGAGTCAAAGCACTGCCCCCGATCGTGCGGCATATGCACCTGGCGTGCTTGTTTAGTGCTCGCCGCGTCCGATCAGTTGTGGGCTGCTCGTCTTTACTAAAGCCGCTGTAGGTCCTACACGGCAAAATATCCGACCAAATGAGGGCATTGGGGAAATGTTCGTGCAATCGTCCGAGCGTTGTATCCAAAAGCGAGAACAATTCGTGTTTTTCAGCTCGCCCGACGTCGTTTGTTCCCCCGTGCAGAACGATGTGCGACGGAGAGGAAACCTGGATACCGGGCAGCACCCATTCGACATGTCCAATAACTTGACCTAGCTTAAGGCCCCTCCTTCCTCTCCAAACGACGTTGGCTGACGACCCCAAACCTTGTTTTCCCTCACGATGCGCGAAGGCGGCTAGCCAGTGGATCATGGAATCGCCTATGAGCAGGATCGTACTTGACTGGCAACCTACAGCAGGAATGAAAGAAAAAACTTCCGGCAGCTCATTGTTGTTGAAGATTATGATTTACTCGTTTCAAAATCACCAATAAAATGTAACATTATTGATCTTCAACTGCCCCATGCATAAACATGAGTCAATTATACATACTATTTAAACATAGGCCTGCCCGAAAAACTGATAATTCTTCTTAACACACTTCCTTAACTAAGTTTAATGTCTCATTGCCCGCGCAAACAAGCGGCCAAGAATCGTACTCACTTGCGGATGGACCAGGTCCCCGCTGCTCCACTCCGGGGTTCGGCTGCGGTGCCTGGACGAGAGGCTCTGCTCCGGGCTGGGAAGGCGGAGCTGTTGCAGTTGCAGTTCTCCGTGGACGTGAGTACCCAGCCTGGTCGACAGTTGTCCGCTTGGACTTCTGCTTAGCCTTCGGCATTATAATTTCAGATGCGATGATACAATTTACGAAGTTATGAAGTTAATATAAAGTTAACCAATTATGAACTCCAAATGTACAAAATTCCAAATCCCGTCGTCGTATATAATTATTCCGAAGAACTAAGTTGAAGTAAAAAACCGATGTGGAATCAAAGTATAGTAGCTATCGACTACCATATATCCTCAATAAATTAATTTGCCACCGAATAATGTCTACGTCCATCCTCTAAAAAATCTGCAAGGTGAATGAGAATTCTCACGCCAACCCGTGAGAACCCAATACATCCCGGCTAAAATAATTCCATATATAGATTCGAAACATACCTTGCGCAAATTCCGTTTATAGATACGCGTACATGAAAGAAACCGCGCGGCTGACTCAAAGGGTGTCGGCATGTTATTGTTTTCTCTCAAGATGCCGCTAAGGGTCATCACAGAAGAGAAGCCGCCGCGAACTCGTGATGTCACTGATGAATGTAAACCATTTATATCGCCCTACGTTCGATAAAATTTCTTATGTTACTATACCATGCAGGGTTAGCACAGTCAAATAAACATTGAATAAGAGCAAAACAGAGTGTACGTCTTGCTTTTAAATCCATACAACTTTGATATCTGTACAAAAATTTCAGACGAGAATTTGCTTTTTTTATAACTGATTCTACTAAAGATGAAAATGAAATTGCGCTAGCCAACTCAATGCCTAAATACTTCACAGAATCTTTTCTCTTGATTGCTTGATTATTGTGTGTCACTTTGAATTCAAATGACTTTTTAGAACTACTTTTAGAACAAAATAAAATGCTTTCTGTTTTTCCCAAGTGTAAAGAAAGCTTATTATCAGTCATCCAATCGACACACGTAGACAGCTGTTCACTGAGCTTTTCCTCAATATATTTAGGATCAGGATTTGAATAGAGTAGTACGCTGTCATCTGCGTACAATAATAGTTTGAAGTCTTTTATACAAATACACATATCATTTATATAACCTGAAAATAGAATTGGGCCTAAAATGCTTCCCTGAGGAACACCGCATGTTATAGGCATTAGTTTGGAACGAATATCATGAATGGCCACTACTTGGTGTCGATTAGATAAGTAGGATCTGAACCAATCTAAACTTGCCTTATCAAAACCCATTAGTTGTAACTTCTTCAATAAGACGCAATGATTAACTGTATCAAAAGCTTTTTGCAGATCAAGGAGCACCATACCAACAAAGCGCCCTTGGGAAGTTTCTCTCCTCAAATAATCAGTCAAATGAATTAGACATGTTTCAGTCGAATAATCATGTCGAAAACCAGATTGAAATTCATAAATTATATCATTTTCTTTGAAGTATCTTTCAATTTGAACACAGACCGATTTTTCTAGAATCTTTGATGCTACGCTTAAAACACTATTAGGTCTATAGTTGCTAACATCAGTTTTATCTTTCTTTTTATAAAGTGGAGTCACTTTTGCTATTTTCATATCCTCTGGAAAAGTACTCGTCAAGATAGATAGGTTCATTAAGTAACTTAGAGGCTTAAATAAAACCTTCGCAGGCGCGGATCCAGGGGGGGGGGCCGAGCGGGCCTTGGCCCCCCCCCCCGCAAAAAAAAAAAAAAAAAAGAGAGAAGAAAGGAAAAGAAGGGAAAGGGGAAAAAAGAAGAGGAAGAAGAAAAGAAAAGGGGGAAGAAGGAGATCAGGGGGGGGGGGGGCGAAAGGGCCTTGCCTCCCAGGCTGTTGACCCCCACCCCCCCCCCCCCCCCAAAAAAAATAAGAGAGAAGGAAGGAAAGGGAAAGAAAAAAGGAAAAGAAGAGATACTGGCGTACTGATGGGGGGGGGGGGGGCTTGGGGGAAATCAAATTCAAACATGTTTTTTTTTCTAATTCCACAACGGTGGATTACAAATAATGCTGAAATGACATAATTTCCGAGATTTTTCCTCACTTTTTAGTAAATTATACGTTTGTATGTGTTTGTTGGAAAATGACAATTTCCTAAATTTACAGCCAGGCAAGAAATATGATTCTTGAGATTCCTACATGTCAGGGCCTGAGGTACGGCGGGGATCAGGAGCCCCGAGCTCCCCCCTCACTTTTTTGCAAAAGTATATTAAAGAGAAATAATATAGAATGAGAGCAAGAAAGAAAGAATAGTTAACTGCCAGTGTTAAAAAATAATGAGGCATCAAAATATGCTCATCTGACCGTGATTAATGCCTAAAACCCTTAGGCTTCCGGGGGCTCTGCCCCCAGGATTCCACCTAGGGCCCAACGGCGGGCCCTTAGATGCTCATCTGACGGTAATTTAATGCCTCAAACCCCTGATTTTTGGCGGCTCCGCCCCCTGGACCCCACGCCAAATAGTGACCTGCCAGTGTCACAAAATAATAAGGTATACAAAAAAATGCTTATCTGACCGTAATTTATTGCCTTAAACCCCTGCGCTTGCGGGGTTAGACAAGGTATCAAAATGTGTTTATCTGACCGCAGGCGCGTAGCCAGGGGGGGGGGGGGCGGTCCCCCCAAATCGGAAGAGAACATCTTTGAAATTCAGACAAGGATTAAGAGTATAGAGAACGGTACAACGCATCGGCTTCTTTTTCTAATAATTTAATGAAACGTCAAAGCGTCGCGCAGGAGGGGAGGGGGGGGGGAATGAATTCAGACAAGGATTAAGAATCGAGAACGGTACAACGAATCGTCTTCTTTCTCTCATAATCTTATGAAACGCCAAAGCTTCCGCGCTTCGCGCGGAAGGGGGGAACCTGAGTTCAGAGGCGAGAACGGTAATACGAATCTTTAATTGCGCGGGATGGAGGGGGAACTAAATTCCGATGAGGATTATTTTCGAGAACGGTACAACGAATCGTCTTCTTTCTCTAATGATTTAATGAAAATTAAAAACTTCCGCGCTTCGCGCGAAAGGGGGTATCCTGAATCCAGACGAGGATTAAGAGTCGAGAACTGTACAACGAATCGTCTTCTTTCTTTAATAGTTTAATGAAACGTCAAAGCTTCCGCGCTTCGCGCAAGAGGGGGAAGGGGGGAGACTGAATTTAGACAAGGATTAAGAGTCGAAAACGGTACAACGAATCGTCTTCTTTCTCTAATGATTTACTGAATCGTAAAAGCTTCCGCGCTTCGCGCAGGAGGGGGAAGGGGGAAAACTGAATTCAGACGAGGATTAAGAGTCGAGAACTGTACAACGAATCGTCTTGTTTCTCTATTAAATGATTTAATGACATTTAAAAGCTTCCGCGCTTCGCGCGGGAGGGGGGGGGGGAAACCTAAATTAAGACGAGGATTAAGAGGCGAGAACGGTAATACGAATCTTTAATGGCTTAATGAAACGTAAAAGCTTCCGCGCTTCGCGCGGGATGGAGGGGGAACTAAATTCCGATGAGGATTATTTTCGAGAACGGTACAACGAATCGTCTTCTTTCTCTAATGATTTAATGAAAATTATAAGCTTTCGCGCTTCGCGCGAGAGGGGGGAACCTGAATCCAGACGAGGATTAAGAGTCGAGAACTGTACAACGAATCGTCTTGTTTCTCTAATGATTTAATGAAACGTAAAAGCTTCCGCGCTTCGCGCGGGAGGAGGGGGGGGGGGGAGAATCGAAATTCAGACGAGGATTATTTTCGAAAACGGTACAACGAATCGTCTTCTTTCTCTAATGATTTAAGGAAATTTAAAAGCTTCCGCGCTTCGCGCGGGAGAGGGGGGGGGGAACCTAAATTCAGACGAGGATTAAGAGTCGAGAACTCGACAACGAATCGTCTTCTTTCTCTAATAGTTTAATAAATCGTAAAAAATTTTCGCGCTTCGCGCGGGAGGGGATAAATTAAATTCAGACGAGAATTATTTTCGAGAATGGTACAACGAATCGTCCTTTTTCCCAAATTTAATGAAACGTCAAAGCTTCCGCGTTTCGCGGAGGAGGGAGGGGGGAAATCGCCCCTCCCTGCACCGACCCCCCCCCCCTCATCACGTCACTGTTAGTCACCATTACGTACCAATATTTGGCTCGCATAATTTCAAATTTGGGCCCCCCCCCCCTAAGAAATCCTGGATCCGCGCCTGCTTCGCACCATCTTTTAGAAATTTAGCTGGAATCAAGTCTAACCCAGTACTTTTTGATACATTCAACTTACGTAACTCTTTGAAAACAAATTGTTCACTGATTGGTAATAACTCGAAGCTGTTTTCACGTACACCTTTTCTTTCGTAAAACTCACGAATACAATCATTGTCTGCGCTAAAAAAGTCTTTGGAAGGGGGGAGTTTGTCTACTAATTTGGCAGCCACATTTGTGAAATGAGAAATGAATTCATCAGCGATGGCCATCTTATCATGACATAATTCCCCATCAATTTTAATGACAGATTCTTGTTCTTTTCGCTTCTTATTTTTCAATCCTAAGCTTTTTAGATTCTGCCAAAGTTTTTTCGAATCTTGTTTATTTTTTTCTATCTTGTTTTGTAAGTATTCGAGTTTAGCCTTTTCACCTCTCTTTGGACCATATTTCTTAATACTCCGTATCTTTTATAGAGCGTCTCATCTTTTGCTCTTTTCCTCAATTTTTTGTATACTATATTTCTCTCTTGAATTAGGGAAAGAATATCTTTAGTCACCCAAGTTTCTGATCTTTGTTTTATTCTTATCTGTTTCAGTGGCGCTATCATATTCAAATTTGAGATAAAAACATGTTGAAATATTGACCATGCCTCATTTACATCTGTACAGTCAGTTATTCGTGACCAATCAACAACAGATAGTTGAAAATTGAAAGACTCTTCTGTATATTTTTTCATGGATCTGATATCATTAGTCCTGTGATGACCTATAGCCAGTCTAATATTTTTCCGTGTACAGAAAGTAAAAGAATAGTCGCTTATACCTAGATCAATGACATCACTTTGACTTATTTTATTTTCTTTGGTACAACCAACATGATCCAATAGAGAAGAACATGTAGGTGTAACGCGTGTTGCCTCTTTAATGAGTTGACTAAACCCATGAAGACTCAACAAGTCAATATATTTTTTTAGCCAGTGGCGATTTGTGAAGAAGACAAATATTCATGTCTCGTAAAAGAATTATCAAGAATATTGGACAATTTCTCGATAAACAAATTGTTTTTCGGAGGTCGATACAGAACGCCAATTGGTTTTGATCTTGGTATAAGCAAATGTATCCTCGTTCGACTAAGCACAGTCAAAAACAACTTTGGAAAACGGAGTACAGTCAAATATTTGGAAAACAGCTTATAACTATCAGTAAAAATCAATGCGCGTAGGCATTGTGTTCAAAATGCATGGGAAAAATCTGTCAAAGTCAACCTACGGTCAACATAGATTTTAGGGGGAAATAATACTGTGGGTCAGTTATCTTCAAAATCTATGAAGAATGGGTCATGTAAAGAAACGTTCCACATTGGAAACAAATCAAACAAATATATATATATATATATATATATATATATAAAGCGATACTTTAAAAATATTTACGAACAGCAGGTTGACTCAAGAAGATTTTCCCCATTTCTACCACGCACTGAACGATGAGGGCACTATATTCACTGTGCGATATCCGCTGTTTTGTGAGCATTTGCAGGCAGTACTCGGTTTTCCCAACTTTAACAAAAAAACGTTTGAGCCCTCCATAGGCTATTTTATCGAGTCAAACAAAACATTTTACAATGCAATGAAATGAAGTCTAAACGAAATAGAATACTTTAACATTTCTCTCCTTGTTGTTCACACAGTGACTGTTACTTAGTAAAAAATAATTGTTTTACATACCAGCTATAGAATAAAATCTCTCGTCTTCATAATATTGAATAATCTTCAAAGAACTAAAATTTGGAATTTTGTTTATTAAACTTTTGTTCGAATAGTTGATTCTTTTCCAATTTGCGTTTGACTGAAGCATGGAGCCTCCGAAAAGAGTGGTGACTTCATCAAACAATCTGTTTTTGGAATTTCTCAATTTTTTCTTCATTTTCTGAAAGAGTATACAAAATAATGCCCATCCGTCGAAAAACCAATTGAATATGTTAAGTATAGGGATGAGATATGACACCAGAATACATAGATTTCCTATAGGAACTTAGTGTTATATTGCTCTGGATCGTTTATGTTTTGCCATTTTTCTTTGTCGTTTGTTAATGTATATTGTTATTTATTGTATTGTTTTACTGTATCATTTCTGGTCACCATGGAAGACCAGCGGTATCATATTGATACCGCTGAATATGGGCTATCCAGCCGTTTATTTTATCTTGTTATTCATTATTCTATTTGTTATTATATTACTGAATGCATGATGTCTTTTTATACGGAAATAAAACAAACAAACAAACAAACAAACAATGGTATTAGCAAGAGCAATATAACACTGAGTTGCCATAGGTTATGATGTCACAGCTTCGGTACTGAATACCATCGACCCTCCCGGGACGCAATTTAGCTCGCATTTCAATACTTTATTTGACATGCAAACAATGAGAAACAATAAGCAATAAGACCTTTTACCTTTAAATTGTGAATACCACATTCACTGATCCCTTACCATCCCCGTTATAGAACCCTAAACTTCTGATAGATAATATTTATTTAAAATATCATTATCAAGGAAATAAGAAAACAAACAAAAATATGTTGTAACTGTTCTTTTGGGAAGAATATCTGGCAAGTAAGGATTTAAGATTCTACCCCTAAAAATGTATCTTTAGGTTTTTTCCTTCCTTCCTATTGACCATATTAATAGCAGTAATAGCGTTGCCAGTCTACCTTCCGTCAGCAACGTGATACTAGGGACTTTTAGATTTACACGGCGAGAACGTGGACCTCTACGTGTGACATCCTTTGAAGGAAATGTGACGTCCTTTTAAGGCACTGGTAGTGCCCAATAGTACCTTAAAAGGACGTCACATTGCCTTAAAAGGATGTCACACGTAGAGGTCCACGTTCTCGTCGTGCAAATCTAAAAGTCCCTACTATTGTCATTTGATTTCAGATGATCTCCGGGTTCGTTTGGCTGGTGGGAGATCTGACAAGGAAGGCCGCGTTGAGATTCTATACCTTGGTACTTGGGGGACAGTGTGTGATGATCACTGGGGTATAAATGACGCCCACGTGGTTTGCAGAATGCTCGGCTACGAACGGGCGGAAAACTTTTCCTGTTGCGCTGCCTTTGGACTAGGATCGGGACTTATTGTTCTGGATGAAGTGGAATGCGAGGGTACAGAACCAAACATAGGCCATTGTCGAAGGAGTGGATACGAAACCCATGACTGTGATCACTCGGAGGATGTTGGTGTCTCATGCATCGAAAATGGTAATTGTTGTTTAAACACGTAACAAAAAAAAAACAACAACAGCAGCATCAATATATCAATAACAATAAATCGTAGTTTCATTTTGAAGTTTAATTTTCGAGGGAGTTAAATCTGTTATACAATAGATATACAATTCTGCATTGCATTTAGAATAGAAGGCTTATAAAAGTTCCACGTGTGGAAACACCATGTACATAGTCCTTAAAGGTACTATGTCCGATTTGCAGGGCAAATAAAAAATGACTTGGTTAAATTCTAATATGAAATACTAATTTAGAACTTCTCTCAAAACGAAGGGGCTTGAAAATGGCTTTTAGTGGGTCAATAACGACCATGAGTTGTCGAATCATCTTAGTGGTTGCGTACGTGTGTGTGTGTGTGTGTGTGTGTGTGTTTGTGTGCGTGTGTGTGCGTGTGTGTTTCTGTGTGTGTATTTGGTTTTTACAGACGTGTATCAATCATATATGATTATTTTCGTCTGGGGACCGACCTTTTAACGTCACCATCCGAAAGACGTGACTCAGTTTCGAGCCTGCGTCCCCGGCTGAATGAGTTTGTAACTTCCACTGTTAGCTGGATTAAAGGCGCACGCCGCAATGCCTAGTTGCAACCACCTATGTAACAGTTTGGCTTTAATATTCAAAGAATAGTTGTTTTGTTGGCTCTCGGGGATGTTTGCATCTTGATATCACCCCTCAGCACGCCTCGGGTGATATCAGGATGCAACATCCCCTTGAGCCTATAAAACAACTATTCCTCTCACAGCAGTCATTAAAGCGAGCTTTCGATTTTAGGCACCCGACGTGGGCTACCACGCGTGACGTCATATTTATCCCCTGCGCATGCGTGAGCATCTGGGCCTTCTCTTTCTGCCTTTCCTTTCGTTATACTTTGTTCCTTCCTTCTATCACCTTCTATTATGTTATTCTTTGTTTCTTCCTTCTATCACCTTCTTTTATATTCTCTTATATTTTTATCATTCTAGCACTTCTTCTTTCTATCATAATTTATGTTATTCTTTGTTTCTTCCTTCTATCACCTTCTCTTATATTATGCTTTGTTTCTATCATTCTATCACTTCCTAATTCTATCTTACCTTATGTTATTCTTTGTTTCTTCCTTCTATTACCTTCTCTTTCTGCCTGTCCTTTTGTTATACTTTGTTTCTTCCTTCTATCCCCTTCTCTTATGTTATTCTTTGTTTTTATCATTCTATCACTCTCTCTTTTTGTCTTTCCTTATGCTATTCTTTGTTTCACCTTTTTTAATGTTATTTTTCTGTTTTATCATTTTAACTTTCTATTTTTGTCATCCGTATCAGATTTTCGCGCACTTTGAATTTATTACCTGATTTAATCACTTGATCTCAACAATTGGTCACGTGACCGACGAAAGCACCGTCGTGAAAAATCGAAAGCACTCCCGTGAAGGGAACGGACGTGAGCTGCGCAACGTCTCCACGCTCCAGTACCTCGTAGTAGCCGACGTCGGGTGCCGAAATTGAAATCTATACTAGCACCGCTAAGGCGCAACCGAACTACTTAATTCCGTCTTTTGGTTTGGTTTTCTCATTCCCACTTTATTGACTCTACATGCACATTAAACGAGAAATAATTTTGCAAACGTTTTTCACGCGTTTTGAATGCACTGTTAGATGCAAAACTCGCAAAAATGGCCGTAAAATAGCCACCACAAATATAGATTTTTACCTTCAATTTAATTCAAGTTAGGTTCAGCTGTACTTCGCGTACTTAAGGGTACTATGTCCCTTTTGCAGCCAACCTCAAATTCTGTAGAACTTTGCAGGAATTATGAATATATTATGTATGTCCTATCTGTGAAATTTAAACGTTAGCAGTGTCCTAATATTCAAATTATGCAAGGAAACCCGTTTACTTGCTAGACTTCACTGTCAGACACTATTGAGTGACTGAGTGGCTTTTTTTCTTCTTTGGTAATAACATACATAAAATGAGCTGTAAAGGGTACATTAGGATTTGTCTACATCAATAAACCACTTCTTGTGATGGCCAAAATTAAACTGATTGAATCTTTGCGCAGCATAAAACGTATGACCATTCGGTACAATGGTCTGAAAATCAAGACTATTACTTATTGGCTTTATAGCTCCTAAGTCGATTTGACAACTAATAGTCGTTATTTTCCCACTTGAAGACATTTTCAAGCCCCACCTTTTTTAGGGAAGTTCTAAATTAGTATCATCTTTCAAATGCCGTTGGAATTTAACATTTTCATTTTTTTGGCCTGCAAATGGGACGTAGTACCTTTAAGGCTCATTGGATAGGTTGTTGTACTGGAAACAATTGCACGCTTTTTTAATGAAAACAAAGTTAGTCTAGTCACATTTGCTCTACGGTTGGGACACGGCGGCCGTAGGCTCCCGAAATCGAAAGATACCTGCGACGGGCGGAGAGGATCTGCTGTGGCCACAGGGTCGCCCTAGGGAGTATCCCTATTTTTTCACAGGCCTTAGGGGTCGCAGTGGGATTATAGCGCAGAGTTATACATTTTTGTTATTCCCAGGTTCCAGGTTTTTCATTTCCAGGCTCTCAATAAGACCATTAGACACACCTCAACCATGCCGTATAGAGCGGTTTCCACGGCGACGGTGGCATTGCGGCTACCTTGCGTCTGCCTTGGTAATTGTCAAAAACCTACGGCCGCCGCGGGGACGCCCTAAGACGACCGTGCGTCATCACTTCAAAGGCCGTACAAGAGCCTGCTCTTCATATTATATTCCCTGCAATAATGACTGATTCAAGCCGCTGAAGATGGCATTATCAACGAAATCATACATACGGTCAACACTCACCAGCCCGCGTCTTTTTTTTTCGTATCACAGCGAGCCTAGATTCCAGAATGAGCACAATTTCATACATAGCAAGCTACAAAAGCTTGCACAGAGGTCACACAAAATTTGACTTTGATTATTTTCTGCTTTATTTACTATTTATAAAGGAAAAAATAAATAAATATTGAGATTCAAACCTTCAAGACAACTCCAAGGTTCTCTTAAAAATACGCTGTCATGATGAAAAGTTGATTTGTATAATTACTATCACCCTATTAACAACCCTACCGGATTCCATGTGCGCATGCGCTGGTTTCCTTCGCGAGTGCCCATGCGCAGGTTTCCTTCGCGAACTAAATCTGGGCTCGCTAAGGTACACAAAAATGAGACGCCACCAGCCCAGCCTAAGCACTTATGCTACGTTTACACTATGTTCCCGGCGGCCACGGCAGCTCCGTTTGCCCGAAACGTAGTGCGCCGTGGGATTTAGACCAATTTTATCTCTGGATTCAAGTTTTGTTACGTCTTGCCAAGTTTTCTCACGGTCTACCACGGTATCCGTGACGGGTCGTGGGCAGGCACGTAGCCAGAGTTTGATGTTTGGGGGAGGGGGGGGGGGGGCACATACATGTAATCGATCGAGGTCAAAAAAAGAGGTCTAAAAAAGTTCAACCGATCCTGGAAATTTTTGGGGGGCACGTGCCCCCCCGTGCCCCCCCCCCCCCCCCCCCGTGGCTACGTGCCTGGTCGTGGGGGGAAGGGGATGCTGAGTCCCGGAGGCTCCAAGGCGCACTACGGTTTGGCCCGCGTTCTACCACGGATGCCAGAACGTTCCCTCCCGGCCCGTCACGTTCTGATGGGGTCCCTCACGTTTCCCACGTTCTGATCAAGGTCTGACACGTTTTTCACGTTCTGTCAAGGCTTTGTACGGATGAAACGTGGACGCAGGGCAGCTTTGGAGCACGTTTGTGCCGGCGGTATAAAAAGAAGGTCTCCCAAGCAATAGCAATCATGGTATTCTGAGACCTCGCGTTGTGTCAGACCGTAGTAGAACGCAACGCGCCGTAGCGTGCCGGGCGCTTAAACCGTCCCACTACGGACCACCCCCAAGTTTTGTTACGGCCTATTACGGACTGTCACGTTTTGTTACGTTCACCCCGGTTTATTACGGCCTACTAGGTTTCTCATCCGCACCGTGACTGCCGTGGCAAATTTGTTGACAGTTTAAAAATCTGACACGGTATCCACGGCAATCACGGCCTGTCACGTTTGCCCATACGGTCCCCCGCGTTGTGTCACGTCAATCCCGTTTCGTCCACGGTGGCCTGAAACGTGGTTGCCGTGGCCGCCGGGAACAAAGTGTAAACGTAGCATTAGCATTTTTTCGCCGGGCCTCCTAATGTAATAATCACACCATCTTTGGCTAGCAGCAAGTAGCAAGTTGGTGTGGTGGAAATCAAAATTAAATATGCCATATTGTAGACTACCCTAACATTTGTGACTGCAACCATTTGTGAATAAGGTGACCGCGGGAATGCTGCAGCGGCCCTCTTACTGCTATTGGCCGTAGATATTTTTGACCCCAAGACCGCGGCGGCAAACGAATCACACGTAACCGCGTTTCACCAATTATTTGATACTGATATAGGAGTGAGTTGTATAGTGATTAATTAATGATATACATGTAACGATAGGCCTAATTTATATTCATTCATTAAAATATACAGAAGTGGAACAGGAATCCTCTACAACCATGACACCGAATGGCAGTAAAATGGGTCTATCCCAGCCTGCCACATTTGGTAAGTTAAGTTGCAAGTTACTATTAGCCTTCAAAATGTTTACCTTATAGATTTGATCATTTTCTATTTAATTCTTCTAGGCTTAAGTGTTATATATTTCCATTGTCTCTTAGACAGAATCATATTGTATAAATCAGTATCACGATCGTAAATACGGTCGATAGATCACCCCAGGCAATCTTCAATAGCCTTGTGCGTTACCTAGTGATGAGTGTGGTGCATGATGATCACGTATTGCGTAATCAGAACATGATAACGATGAGGTATTGAAATTCTCCTCGAGGTGATTTCATGATAGAAGGGACTTTTAGATTTGCGTGGACTAATACGTGTGACGTCCATTCAAGGCAGTGCATTAAAAGGACGTCGATCGTAGCAATCCACGTTGATGTTGTGCAAATCTAAAAGTCCCTAGTTTCTCCAATCTTGTCCGGTATATTATTGTCACCGGTCAGTGACAGAAACAGTAAATGTTCACATTGATACGGTCTTTCATAATTGGGATTTCGTACGGTTTTCAAACGTTCCTAATCTTAGTCACGAACCTTCCTTTATACGGTACACATTACACATTGATATGCTTTTTGATTTCATGTTTGTGGCTGCTTATCTTATTTTAAAAATTTCCAATAATATTTCTTACACAGGTTTGATTGGATTCCTCTCCGTTACAGTTATTGGTACCCTTTTGGGTTGTATCGTCATGACAGTAATGATGCGGAAGTACAGGTATGTCTCACAGCAAAGCACGTTACATTGAGATTTTATTTAGCTTTTTATTTTTAGAATGAAAGCGAAGGTTGAGTTCTGGAAATTGTAAACAATAATTTGTGAGCTTTGCTCGTTCTCTGATGTCAGTTTGGAAGAATATCACAGGATGTATTTCAACTGAAAGGGATTGCCCTTCAATAACTCTTATTTTCGAAACAATACGAGAAATGGCATAAAAGTCTCGGCCCGTATTCAATAAACTTCAAAGATTTATTAGTCCAAACTCCATGATCTAGATCCAACATCCACTCTAGGTTACCTATACTTTTCTATCAAACAACTTCGAAGAGCCCCACGTGGCTATCTTATGCTGCGGTTAGGGTTCATGAAGTTAGCCGTTGCGCCGGCCGCGTATTTTTTTTCCGTACCGCTAATGCGTCTCAGAGGTTATTTCGACGACTTGAATAGAGGCAACATCCGACACACACACTGAATCGCGCCGCACTGATGAAATTCTAGGATTAAGATTAGGTTTATTTAGTCTAGGTTTTTAAGGTTAAGGTTGGGGGTAGGGTTTATGAATAGGATTAGGGTTAGGTAGACATTAGCTGAAATTAGCAATCGAAACTAATTTAAACCCCTAAAACCAAGGATAACCATCGGCACTGTCGGCTGATGTGTTTTGATCTGAAAACGTGACAAGATCAGTACGGCGCGATTAAGTGTGTGTGTGTGTGTGTCGGATGTTGCCTCTATTCAAGTCGTCGAAATAACCTCTGCGACGCATTAGCGGTACGGAAAAAAATACACGCGCCGGCCGGCCAGTGCTTGTATTAAGGCTACCGTTTACATCATCTGTACTGCTAGCCTTAACTAAATCAAATACCTAAATCTAACGTTTTTCAGACTCATAATATACACAAATGTTGTCTCACCTAATATTATGCCGATAACACATCAATCCCTGTCTCCACATTTTCATTCCAAGGACCAAGAAATCATTTCTTTGCGACATTTAGTTCGTAATTTACAAGTATAGTCCTGCAGGCTATATACAGGCTATGCCTATATAGCTGAGCTAGCGTAGCGCTGGATGCATGGCATGCATGTCAACTGATAACCCGAGCTGCATTAATTTTGTACGTTTTATTTTTATTCCATTTGATCGAAACCCGAAGCGACACTGCGTGGCACTCCCGAAATAGTCCCTATCCAAACAGCCTCAGAAGTATCCTTACATTTAGGGTAGAATTTTTACGTATCTGAGGTATCTCATTTGTACAAGAATACGACAAGCTATTTAAGCACTTTCTCTTAATTAGACAAAATCTGGGAATATCAACTACCTCTTATAGGGGAAAATTCTTAGCCCCCAATGCTTTTATAGAATACGCATTTTTGCTAAGACTTTTCTCTAAGCAAAAACATAAGAGAAGTAAAGAATTGTCATGATTACAAAGTTTTGGGGTCGGTCGAAAGGCCTTATCTCAATTGCTGCCAGACAGTTTCTTCCACAATTTCAATGTCATTGACTTTATATTTGAGCATAAATATATAGGTAACTAGAGAAAATGCTAACTCACTTTGACTTTCATCTTGTTGTCCCTGTTAATTGCCTTGAGGACATAAGGTCTATTTGTACTGTCACGTGTAATTGGGTCTCTATATCTACAGGAGATCAGCAAATAAAGCTAGTAGTCAGCAGCAAGGGACAGTGGAACACCACTGTTACAACGGTGAGGAAGGTTACTTGGAACTTAACGTTGTCCCTCCCAAGCTACAAGGGGGGTCGTCACGTGATCAGGATGAGGCATACGAAACGCCACGACATGCCGACGATGAAGATTCTTATGAAGATGTTAAGATCTAAGAAGAAGAAGAAAAAAAATCTAGTAGTTCTACTATTGCTCTTCTTTTCTCCCTTTACCTCTCCCCTTTCCATTTCTCTAATCTTATCACTCTTCCTACCTCTCTAGCCAATTGCCTTTTATGTATTACCTACTTTTTCTCTCTCTTTTAGTTATCTTTCTCTGTTCTGAAAATATATATACATTTTGAAGAACAACGTAATTCTTTGACCATGTTAATCGTTCTTTATATTTTCCATTTGTTTTGTAATTCACTTTTATGTTTAATTATTTTAACCTGCAAGATTTAACATCAGTTCAATGCATCATAATATCTCTGATTTGATGCATTTCTTAATGTTCAATTTGAATATATTAAATCAATATTTACTCTGTTTTATTTACTTTGTACGAATTTCTACATTTCTGCAATTTTCTTAGAGAATAATTTAATACGGTTCAATGTGTGATTATTACGCTAGATTATTTAAATTTACTCTAAATGATGATGTGCTTCTTTTTTTACTACCACGTTTGCTTTATGCGTTCTCTTATATAAAAAAAAATGTATATCTATATTTATGTATTAAAGGTTGCACTAGAGCTCAGTAAAAACGCGTTTAATAGGACATTATGTTCAGGATTTTATCTAGAAATGTCCTTTTGTTAAAGATTGTGAAAGATTATTTTAAAAAGGTATTATTTCGGACTTCCGTTTCCCAGTTACTGTAGATACGTCTTGTCGTTAAAGATTGTGAACGATAAACAGAAATGAAATATAGGTAGTATACTCTATGATGAAACTTGTACACACAGCAGCTCTACATGTACAAATGATTTTTGAAATGGTGAGAAAAGATGGAACTTTGGTTTATGTACACAATCAATCACATAGCATAACCGTCATATATAGGTAAGGCATACTTTGTGTTCCTTTTTTGTTACCTCTTACTGTAACCATCAGAAACAAATTGATTTTTTGTTTAAAAGTAATCATAAAGATTTTTGTTATGTGTACACATGATTCAATGTAATGTCATAATATTTCACTGGTATTTCACATTATATCTAAAAGCTAATTCATTGGGTTTGACCGATACACGCAAATCTACATTTTCATCTATCTATCTATATAATTATATATATATATACAATGTGGAAGGAAATGAGAGCAAAACGGTTGCGTAGCTTAATTCAAAGTTCATATTGCTGTTTAAACTCCTGTCATACAGTTGACAACTTATTCAAACCCCTTGCAAATTTGACGGGTCCCCTCCCCTCTTTTTTCTTAACTGAAGAATGAAAGGTGGACTGGTTGAATGACAGCCTTTGTCGAATGCTTTCAAATGTAAGCTTTAATATGTCACATTCTCAAGAAACATACACCGGGACGAATCAATCTTTCACATACTAATAACAAAATACAAAACTTTGTAAGGGCACGAATGCTTAAGTTGTTGACTGTATGGGTATACTCTGACATATATATTTCTTGCAAAACCTGATTTTAATATGCACCATCTACTCAGAAACTAATTGAATGTAAGCATAATTATATATATGATTAGTAATCAAGATAATTGTGATTAACCGAAAAGGATTAACGCTTTTGCTTGTGCGTTCTATATTCTTAAATAAAAGCTTTCTAGATTTAGGCACTTAAGGTGCATAAGAGCTCAGTATATACGTTTTAAATGGAGGATATATACCAAGATTTACTCAGAAACTAATTGAATGTAAGCATAAAGATATATATCATGAGTACTCAAGATTATGTTAATTAACCGAAAAAGGATTAACGCTCATGCTTGTGCGTGGTATATTCTTAAATAAAAGCTTTCTAGATTTAGGCATTTACGGTGCATAAGAGCTCAGCAGGCGCGTACGCAGGGGGGGGGGGGGGGGGTTGTGGTTAACCCCTCCTTTTTAATTTATATGTATGTTTTGTGTATGTCTTTTGGTAACCCCCACCCCCCACCCCCTTTAGACTTTTAAAAAAAATTTAATAACAAAAAATAATAATACGAAAAAAAATGATGTCAATGGCTGACCTAAAAAAATTGACCCCAACGGAACAAAATGTCAATTTTTCAAATTTCGAGACAAAAAAAAAAGTGTCCTCTTAGCCCCCCCCCCCCACTTTTTCAGCGGCTGGCTGAGTCGTTGCGAAATGTTGGGCCCGATTTTAACCCCCCCCCCCCTTGAAACAAATCCTGCGTACGCCACTGGAGCTCAGTATATAGGTTTTAAATGGAGGATCATCAATGGTGATCTGTCAGTTTATGACAGGTTCAGTGACCCATTCAAAATTCTATATCAAGTGTCTCTCCAAGTTTCTCTCCAAGTTCCTCGGAGGATATATATACCAAGATTTCCATACGTCTGAGGGTGTAAGCACCATGCAATAACCTCCCATACGAGAGTCAAGAGCTATTTTCAATATACTAATGAGTTCCGACTGGTCCTCATTTTCAGTAATAAGAAGATGGAAATATTGAAACATGACCTGGATCTGCACATTACAAATTTCCTCTTTTTCAGATAAAGTTCATTACATTTGTTAGGTACTCTGGACTTCAAAATGTTGTAACAAGAATAATAAATAGAAGGAAATAAAGAAAGCATTCTTCCACGGCTACATTTTTTTTCTCTTTTCCATTAACTACTCTTCATATATATTTATGGCAAGATAAAGAGCCGTGCATACTTTAAAAAAAAAGTTTTCAACTGCTGGTGCAAGTTATGATAACCGTGTAGGGTACTGGTAAGTCAGAATGAAATCATTTCTGTTTTTGTATGAACTGCTTGGTTTTATGAGCTGTGATAACAAAATAAAAAATAAAACAAGATTGCAGAGTATCAGCATATAATCATTCCAAGGTTATTTCAGTTTAGGTAAAATCAAATGACATTGATGCGTGATATTCACTTTGACCTATAATACAAATAATACAAACAAAAAACACTTCTCTGCGCATATCCATTTATATTCACATCTAAAAGGTGCTCTCTATTAAAGTTCTAAATTATTTATTGATTCCTTTTGCGTCGTTCAAGAGAATTGACCAACCTTGAATATATTAGAAAAAGACTATTCGATATTAGAATATCTTTGCCTGGAGGATATTTCTTTAAAAAATAAATTTGTATTCGTTCTTGAGCGTGACGCACCCTCTATTAACGGAACTATGTCCCATTTGCATGCCCCCCAAAAATGAAAAGGTTAAATTCCAACAGCATTTGAAAGACATTAACAATTTAGATCTTCCCTCAAAACGAAAGGGCTTGAAAATGGCCTTCAGTGTCGAATCGACTTAAGTGATTGCAATCACCTAAGTAATAGTCTGATTTTCAGACCTTTTTACCGAATGATCGTACGTTTTGTGCTGTACAACTATTCAATCAATTTAATTTTGGCCATTACACGTAGTGGGTTATCGATGTAGACAAATGTTTATGTAACTGTACAGCTCATTTTATGTATGTTATTACCAAACAAAAATAGATGTCAGTCTGTCACTCAATAGTGTCTGAATGTGAAGTCTAGAAGGTTAACGGGTTTCCTTGCATAATTTGAATACTAGGACACTGCTTATGTTTAAATTTCACATACAGGACATACATGACATATTCATACTTCCTACAAAGTTCTACAGAATTTGATGTTGGCTGCAAAAGGGACACAGTACCTTTAAGGAAATGAATTGAAAGCAAGCTGGGCTATATTATGGAATTAACCGTTACAGAATGTAAAAAACCTCAAACGTTGAAAATGAGACATTTACCGCATGCCATTTTCAGCAAAAATATCTTGAACTGAAATTATATTGCGTGTAAAGAACTCCTCATCAAAAATATTTCTTTTTTTTCAATAAGAAATTGTTATTGATAAAATAGTATATACCCAATACACACACACACACACACGCACACACGCACACACACTGCAAAAGGGGTTACATGACCTGGGCCCCGTCTTACAAAGAGTTGCGATTGATCAAAATCAATCGCAGTTCCTCCAATCAATCGCAAGTTTGCAGTCTCCTATCTTTTATGTATATATAATAGTTCATATCGATTGATATCAACTCTTTGTAAGACGGGACTCTGGTATGAGGAGCTATCTCGAAAACATCAATAGAGGGCAGCTGTCGTAACCTGCGGGTAATTGGAATATGGCGCTGAATATGGAAAGTTGTTACTTTTTAAAGCTGAATCTTTGGTCCATTTCTCGCCTCACTCACACCGCCAAAATCTTCCAAATTCGAGGTGACTGCCTGCTCAACAAAGAATACGTCCGACGTGTATCAAAATCATAGGTGCAGTGTATAGTATACTTCTTGCAGGGTGCGCGTCATGGATTGACATGAAATAACACCCTGCAGGTTAAATAATTATTTTACGCTCTTGAACAAAGACTAAACGCTTTGTAGCAAAAATATGATCGTACTTGAAGGTACATCAACCGCAAGATTGATCCCAGTTTTCCTCATTTTGGCCTTAGAAATTGAAGGTATGTTGTAATTCGCGCTAGTATTATTGTAGTATAATCAAGGAATGTTCTATTTACTCTGCCATGTTTGTATTGCATTCATTACATCCAAATGTATGTGTAATTTGATTCTCGGATAAGAATGATGTGTTCAGATTGCCCGTTTCTTGGCATTGGTACTCGGTCATAAGCCGTGGAAGTTGAGTGTGGAAAGCATGTTTATGTTAACACTTATCAACAAAGTGTAAGTAGATGATGAAACTTGTTGCAATGATTTCCCATGCGTTTTAGGAACCTGCTTTAACGAACCTTAAGTGTTAAATAATCGGCAGATTAGCTTACATATTGGGATTATTTTACCTTCGTCTAGGTTAGGATTTGATTATAATAATAATAATAATAATAGATTTATATAGCGCAGCTTTTATACAAAATATATTCAGCTGCGCTGGTTAAGAGCTCCTTTTTACTAAATTCTACAAAATAAGATCACTCAGTTGAACAAATAAGTTTTTAAATTGGATTTAAAAACATTGAGAGATGGAGTGCTTCTTATTTCTATTGGCAAGCTATTCCATAATTTGGGGGCGGCAATAGCAAAAGCACGGTCCCCAAGAGTTACTT